ACACACACATACAGTAGGCCGTCATATTAAGATTTGATTACTGTTGCATATGCCATGTAATATATTCTTATACTTTAAATTGATAATTTAATTTTAATTGATTTAATTTAATAAATCTGTTAAAAAAAATTAAAATCAGGCAGTTGAGATTTGATATATTGCTTTACGAGTGTACTGTATTTATGTGCATACAGTTGGACATATATCCAACTTTGTGGTGTGATGCAGTGTTTCGATAATATAATGTACTATAATGCAATGCAATGATAAATGCAGTGCAGTATTATCATCCAGCTCGAATCTGCTAAATGCATGTTTCTGCTCCGGTGGTTTGACTGATTTCTGGCTCCCTTCTCCCTGTAAAACGCCTGATCTGGGCCCGTATTCACAGAACATTTTTATCTTACTACTAAGAGTTCTCCTAAATAGCAGTAAAAGTTTTTAGCAAAGAGTTTTCTCTTAAAACCTATTCACAAAGCTGCTGAGACAAACTTTTCCTAAGTAATAGAGAGAAGTCTTAAGCTGAGAGTGAGGGGGCGGGGCTGACCTCGTTGCTATGGATGATGTCAGCATGCTCCCTAACTATGCACACAGTGATTGGCTGATAGTCTTTGTCAGAGATTTATTGTAGAGTGCAATGTTATGTTGCCACATTCAAATAAAGATTTTAAAATGCAGGCTAAGTGTCACTAATTAAACTATATATATGTATGTGTGTATGTGTATGTGTGCGCGTTTTTGTGACAAATGAGGACATAAATTTGTATAATGACAAAGGTATGACATAGGTATTACAAGGAGAAGGTGACTTTTCAGGACATGTCCCCACTTTTCAAAATGCTTATAAATCACACAGTATGTATGTATGTGTATATATGTGTGTGTGTGTGTGAGAATGTGTATGTATGCATGTATGTGTGTGTATGTATTGTGTGTGTGTGTGTGTGTATGTATGTATGTGTATGTATGTATATATATATGTGTGTGTGTGTGTATGTATATGTTAAGGTTATTGTCAGCCTGTATGCTTCTCGTAGTAAAAAAATAAATAGTGAATATGCATATAAACAGCCTTTTAATTAACAGAGTGGAATAATCATGGCTGATAGTAAGACATGCAAACAAAAAAGAAAACCAAACTGGACGCAAGAACAGCGGTTACTTCTTGCCCAGCTGGTTAAAGAAAACAAGCATATAATCAAAGGAAAATCTGGAGTAGGGATAACCTCCAAAACCAAAGGCGATACCTTTTTTAAAAGCACATTATCGTCAGATGTTTCTAAAATGTTTACGTTCCGAGGCAGATTGCCGGCAATAACAGACATTTTAAGATAGTTTGTGGTTTGATCTTAGTGACTCCTCTTCACTACTCCTAACGTTTCACAGATTAAGGAGCTAGTTTTAGCGCTAAAACGCTTTGTGAAATACTCTTAGAGCAAAAATGTAGGAGTCCTAAATTTAGGACCGACGCCCATTATTTTAAAGATTTTCTCCTAAATTGGAGAGTTATGAGCTACTTTTAGCCTTGAGATGTTTTGTGAATACGGGCCCTGGTTTTCACAGTGATCTTACTTTTGTCTCCCCAGGTGATTATCGAGGTGACGGAGATGCTGCACAACGCCAGTCTGCTGATCGATGACATTGAAGACAGCTCCAAGCTGCGGCGCGGTTTCCCGGTGGCCCACAGCATCTACGGCGTGCCGTCGGTCATCAACTCCGCCAACTACGTCTACTTCCTAGGCCTGGAGAAGGTGCTGACGCTAGAGCACCCCGAGGCCGTGCACGTCTTCACCCGTCAGCTGCTGGAGCTGCACCGCGGCCAGGGTCTGGACATCCACTGGAGGGACACCTACACCTGCCCCAGCGAGGCGGAGTACCGCGGCATGGTGCTGCAGAAAACCGGTGGCCTCTTCGGCCTCGCCGTGGGCCTCATGCAGCTCTTCTCCCACTGGAAACCAGATCTGAAGCCGCTGTTGGACACTCTGGGGCTCTTCTTCCAGATCCGGGACGACTACGCCAACCTGAACTCGACGGAGTACAGCGAAAACAAGAGCTTCTGCGAGGACCTGACGGAGGGCAAGTTCTCCTTCCCCACCATTCACGCCATCTGGTCGCGTCCTGAGAGCACGCAGGTGCAGAACATCCTCCGGCAGCGCACGGAGAACGTGGATATCAAACGCTACTGCGTGGACTATCTGGAGAAGGTGGGCTCGTTTGCTTACACCCGTCACACGCTGCTGGATCTGGAAGCCGAAGCCTATCGGTTGATCGCTGAGCTCGGAGGGAATCCCGAACTGGAGGCTTTGGTGCAGCATCTGAGTCGCATGTATAAAGAGCCCGAGGGCGGAGCTTCGGCAGGCCAATCGAAAGAGCCCGGGGGCGGAGCTGCAGCCGGTCAATCAAAAGAGTTCAGGGGCGGAGCTTCATCCGGCCAATCGAAAGAGCTCGGAGGCGGAGCTGCAGGTGGCCAATCAAAACAATTTGACTTTGCACTGTGAATAAACTGTACTGTTATTTTGACTCCACAGCAGTTGTCTGGAGTCCAAAGTCTGTCGTTTTTGTCTCGTTCACATTTCAAGGCGTTGTAGCTGACATATGAAGTGTAACAGGAACTTGACTGGCCTCTTAGTCTGCAATATTTGGTCAATATTTATGTACTGTAATCGGTGGACTGATGCTGCTTGTTTAATTATAAATGATAACCGTAAACAAACAGTCAGATAAAACAAACATTTAATGTTTAAACCATGTCTGTCATCCCACCACAAAATCAAAGCAAATACATTATTTTGCTTTAAGAAAATTAAGACAATTTTATGGTTCTTTACTTTTTTTCTTTACTATTTTCATGACAATTATTATTATTATTATTAGAATTTATTTAAATGAATGTCATTATTATTACTACTACAATATCTGTCAGATGGAACAAACATTTAACTTTTATACAATGTCATGTCACTACAAAATTAAAAAATTATTTTGCTTTAATAAAACAAGCCATTTTTTGCATTGTGCAATTATTTTCATGACAATAACAACAACAACTAATTTATATAAATGATATTATTATTATTATTAAAACAGTAAATATTAGAGAAATTATTATTATTATACATTTAAACATCTGTTGTACTGCCTGAATTTGTTTAAATCTGCATATAATATAGGTCACTGTAATAGAGTGAAAATGTAATGATAATCACCAGTGTAAATAATTGAAATGTCAAGGAACACAATAATATGAATTTGGAGGCAGAATATTCTTGGCATGATATTCTCACAGGAAATAATAAAAATAAATAAACGATTTAAATTGATTCTTTTTTTTTTGATTTTGGGGTGAAATGTGACTGACGTTTTTTTTGGTGAAATTTATTTCTCATTCAAATTGAATTAAGACATGATTGCCTTTCCCAAAAGGCACAATAGTGATCGTGTCTGAAGCTTGTGCTGTGGTTTTGCGGTGACAGTGACGAGGCCTTACGGTCATCTGTGGACGCTTTAACATTCCTCAAGTCAAGTTGATGTCCTCCACATTTTAGCAGCTCTTGGTTTTTGTGACCGATGTTTACGATGGTCAGAATTACAGACGGATCCGTCACTTGATGCTCAAATACCTCTGAAATAGTGAACTGAGACGAGATCTCACATGTTTGGTGTTTGACAGGGTTTTACCTTTGAACAAATAGACGGTTATGTGTGCATTTATCAGATTCATTCTGTATATGCAATTTTTGGTTTTGGATGTTTATTTTTTTAAATAACTATTCTATGAATAAACACTCTTTCATACACTTCAGTCTCCTGTGAGTGTGTTTTGTGCTGTTGTTCTTCTCATGAAGAGAAAATGTATATCTTTTGCATGCATGAATAGATTTACTTAGGAATGTCTGATCTTTCCTCTTATGAAATCTACAGGATCAACCACTTAGTGGCGCAGAATTACTGTAGAACAGAGCAGGGCAGCGAATAGAGTTATTTCACACTGCAATAAGGTTTTATTCATCTCATTAGTTATGCTGGTTTGATCTGTCTTAGCTGTGCCATTTCTGCATGCTATATAAACGCCTTTGAAGATGAATTGTTCTGAACTGTATGAAAAAAACAGAAACTAGAATGCTATTTAAAGATGAATATGTTGAAAATGAATTTATGTATAATTAAAGATTTGTTCAAGTAACTAACACTATTAAAGTGAAGTGTGTTGTCCTTGTGCTTTAGACATGAATGATTCTTCAAATCTGAAGAGCTATAATAGAAATATAATGAAATGATTGAAAAAATAAAATCATATTTTTAAATGTGAAACTAAAAAAAGACAGTAGGTGGCGGTAAATCACTAGTGTCTTAATGAGCGAGTCATTGGAGTTATTAGACCGATTCGTTCAAACACGATTCATTCAGTAACTAAACATCGCTGTTTGCTCTTTTGCTTGTTTGGAACTACTTTCGATGTCGAAATAGAGCAAAAACATACAATATTGTGTCTAAACTGTAAGTAGTAATATTAAGCCATTGTGGTAGATTTTGCACAACATTTCGATCAACATTTGCAATCCGCGTTGATGTTTGATTCTCTTGCTCGTGCGTTTTTTGCCCAATAGTTTGCATTTTTGATGCATTTATTTATTTTAAGTAGCCCCAAGCCCCCGTTAATTTCCCACCGAGATTTAAAACGTATTAAATGTGAACAAAATAATAATAAAATAAATCACATATAATTAAAGTACAATCAATCGTATCTTAAATTTTACAAATAATTTAAAATCTCGGGGGCTTCTACACTCTTAACGTTAAACGTACACAACCTTGAACTGAGTACTAGCGTCGTTTTCATTCCAGAAGAATTAAATATTTTATTTTGTGTTGATTAGTAAGCTAATATGCCTTGGGATACCAACCCAAACCATGTTTTGACCCAACCGCTGGGTCAAAACAGCCCAATTGCTGGGTTTGTCCCTATTTTACCCAGCACTGGGTTGTATTTAACCCAGCATTTTTTAGAGTGTAGTAAATATTTCACGTCAAATCTGACACACACAAATGTTTGGGTATCCCAAGGCATATTAGCCTACTAATCAACACAAAATAAAATATTTAATTCTTCTCGAATGAAAACGACGCTAGTACTCAGTTCAAGGTTGTGTACGTTTAACGTAGCTGTCGATTTGCTGATAAAACACTAAAAATACCCCTTAAAAATTAAACAAACAAAACAATTAAAGCTATAAAAATAAGCTATATTGACATTCAGCCTATTAAATAGACAGTGCTCCCTCACACTATTTTCATGACATGTTTGGTTTGATGAGGTCTATTGTGGTGAAAGTTTCTACTAATGAGGGTGTTTATGATTATGGCGTTTAAGCAGGATTGTCTATTTTCATACCAAACACAATATGGTGGTATAATAGTGTTACTTACAGATTTCGAAGCGTTCAGTGATCCATGAATGATGCAGCTCACCTGAAAACCCATCTGCTGCGTTAGCATTAGCTCAGCCGCTTCTCATCTCCGACACACTCAGCCCTCATTATGAATAAAAACTAAACATTTTACACATGTGAAATGAAATCACAATGTTTGAGGGGTATTGTTGTGTGTGTGACTCGTTAGGCAGCTGCAAATCAGCTTGATGAGTTGATTGATCTGCTAATGAAGCCTGAGATTTCAGCAAACTATTACCTAAATTTTCCATAAAATCCCTGTTGAAAAAAACAGCATATACTGGTTAGGTATGTTTTGACGCTGGGATGCTGGTTTAAGCTGGTCCTTTGCTGGTTTAAGCTGGTTCTTTGCTGGTTTATGCTGGTCCTTTGCAGCTCACTGCTGATATATCTATGTTTGAGGTAAATCTGGATGCAGTGACGCATTAAATATGAAACAAACCACATTACAGCTCTGTAACCTCATATTACCTCCTGCCAAGTGATTTTTTAAAGTTTAACAGCAACAGTACGAGACACTTGTTCACCAGCCACTTTTTAGTAGCTATCCAAGAATCCTTCAAAATCCAAGAATCGCCAGTTAAACTGTTGACATTTTTAATAAGGCAAGACACTACAGACAAAAAAAAAAAACATTGTTTTTCATACAACAGTCAATTTTGGGCTATTGTGCTTCCATAACGTTTCAGACTGGTGAAAAAGAAAACATCCAAAAACACTTTTAAGTGTTTATTTAATTGCACGTTATCTGTAGATTTCAATTACAATACTTCTCTTTAAAGGCCGTTTTATTCCCATCTACTGTATATTCTAAAGGTTTTCACAGAGAGGTTTGTTCATATATATAATTTGCCTGACTTTGTTATTGCACATTATTTCTTTGCGTCTGAAGATTTCAATTACAATACATATTTTTAAAGGCTGTTTTCTCAAAACTATTTTTTTCTCCACTTCAGTAACACTTACATACACTTACATTCACTTGATTTTATACATTTCATTCATTAATAAAAAAATGTTCAGTTACAATACATAACCTTAAAATGTTTTTATTTATTTTATTTAATTAACACTTACATACACCAGACTTTACGATCTTATTTTCATCTTCAGAATATTCTGAATTGTTTTACAGATGGGTTCGATCATATATCGTCCGCATGATTTTATATACTAGTTGAAATGTATGTTTTTTCTGGCTGTTTACGGAATTTTTAGATTTATGGTGTGATAAAAAAAAAAAAGAGAATTCCAAAATTCCAAACCTTTAACTCCAAAATTTATTTGTTCACACCGTCTTGATTAATGCTTAATTTAAATATTATATAAAATATATATTTCAATATATAAGTATACAGTATCTCACAGAAGTGAGTACACCCCTCACATTTTTGTAAATATGTTATTATATCTTTTCATGTGACAACACTGAAGAAATGACACTTTGCTACAATGTAAAGTAGTGAGTGTACAGCTTGTATAACAG